GGGTACATTGAAACTTATGGCTGTGATTACGTTAAGAAAATGTTGTATAAAACTAGGATCGGACCCGCGGTCCACCGCGGGAGAATATTGGTTTACATATGTTGCGTTTAATATTGTGTGTGTTTTTTAGTAGAACGAATCGTGTAGTATACTTATAAATATTCATAATAACGAATTGTAGAGAAAATGTAAAATTGTTTATAAATATACTAATCGTAATAATTATGATTTACAAAATAGAATTTTGTGTTTTAAAATTCTAAAATTAGACGATTCATGGGAATTAGAGCAGTCAAAATAGGTTAAAAACCGCGGGTTCAGCCCACATCATTTCACTATAGGGCAGATTTGGGAAAATATATTAAACCCGCAAATAAGCGGGCCACATGGATTAATTCGCAGAGGGTCATAGGTATAATCGGTTTTCATCCGCGGGTTGGCGGATCAGTCCGCATATTAGTATTTATTGATAAAATTATAATTTATTCAACATGTGGTAATTTAAACAAACTTTTAATAGTATTTTGATTTATTTATTTATTTTAGTAATATTTTAAATTTTGGTTACTTTATAATTATTTAAACAAAATCCATGGACAATCCCGCAAATCCGCATACATTCGCGGGACGGGTTTGTATTTCATATATGCTACCCGCGGGTCGTGCGGACCGACTAACTACAAGTCAAAATATTTTTTGTCTATCGCAAAACGGACTTAACAGGACGAATCAACTCGCTTTGACAGTTCTAATGGGAATATTATTTAGTCATACAACAAAATGAAGTTTGGACATAGTAATAATAGAATATGTATCTTATTTGTTAGATGAGAGATTGAAAGATGAAGTATAATGATTAAAAATTAATTATTATTTTTCATGATTCACAAAATTTAATAAATACTTATCATCTTGTTGAATAATTCTAAAATCATATTCAAGAAATCTTTATAAATTGAAAATTAAACTTCTTTGGTAAGCTATAGGTATGAAAATATCATAATTTCGATTTAATCTAATTAAATTAAAATTAGTTACATGGATTTCATATCTATTTAATTTACACGACCAAAATAAAAATATCTATTTAATTTACACGACCAAAATAAAAATATCAATTTAATTTATAAAATAGATGGGTTATTTGTGATAAATTTTCTAGAAATCTTTAGAAGCAAGTAAAATATCTTTCAATTAATGATAATTAGCTAAAATGAGCGAAATTAATGACAAAAACGTTGATTGTTATGGAATTAGTCCCAAAAATATATGAACAAATTTATTATAAGTAATTAATGTATAATATTGTTTGGAATATGCTTTTATTATTAGTTACCATAAGTACAATCAGATTTTATTTGATTTCCATAAATATATGATTTTATTTCGATTTTTCATTATTAATTCGAATTTATATTCCAAAAAAATTTCAAAGATCCGATTTCAGAATTTCGGGTCAATTTTCTGATTTTAACCCGACACAGTTTCATTTGTACTTCTCTTTTAATAGTATAGAGATTTTGTTTCCCTTTTTTTCTGTAACGTAAATTTTACTTTAAAACAATAATTTTGTTTTGTTTTTGATATGATTTGGAACGAACTTGGATATAAACACTACAGGAAAACCAGGTATTAATAGCAGTATTAATAACGCTATCTTATTATTAGATAACGTTTTTTGGGTGCTAATAATAACAGTTTTTCCTGTAGTGATATAAAATAAAGCAAACTTGGAGGATAATTTGGAAGGATGTACTGTTCTTTTAATTTATTTGCATCAATTTGTTTGCATCTTTGGGTTAATAGTTCCAATCATATATATTAACCAATGTGTGTGAGCTCGGATGCAGATAAAAGTATACATAATTGGTCTTTCCATTTAAGTTTTCATACGGCTTCATGGTAGTATCACTGATACAACAATATGTGAGTTGAGTTATTGGAAGCTACAGAGGTAACAGTCTGGAGAAAGATAGCGCGGCGAGAATGATTCGATTGACATCATAGACTCACTTGGAGGAGGTCATGTGCATACACAGCTGCTTCTTTAACCTTGACAGTATATGAGTCGAAAACAAAAACACCATATATATGAGCCGAAATGGAACGAAGACTTTGTTTTTAATATCAAGCTGCCTCCTGCAAAAAAGATAGAGGTAGAAATGTTTCAACTATTGTGGCTGGACAAATACCTTCTAATATATAAAGCCTTGCCTGACTTCCCAAAAATTGTTTAATGAGCTTCAGATTGCAGCTTGGGATGCAAACCTTGTTACCCCACATAAACGGATGGAGAACTCCGAAATCAACCTGGAATCCGTTTGTAGATGGTGAGAATTTGCTCACCCATTCACTATCAATTTATTCTATGTTCACTCTTTTGTGTTGAATAATCAACTATATAGAATTAAAATCTGATAAGCCATATGTAAAATCTGTAACACAACATTAATGTTTCCACGTTTCCTGTCGTAACACCAGCCATACTGCAACCAAACATCAAGAGCCTCAATGATTAGGATGGATTGCATTGAATGTGAACTCAAAGATTTCTAATCAGGAGAAAGTGAAGTACCTGATACGGCCATTGCGGGTCATATATAGATGTGATATTCGCTTGTTAAGCGGTCAACCTGTTCTGGTGTTAGCCCACTGTAGCAGAACATTCCAATCTGTTTCACCCATGAAAATAGGATTGTGCGAGTCAGAGGAGAGAAATGACAACAAGTTCATTTAAAAAACACTTGTTTTTGTAAATACCTGCTTGGTAACGTGCTCCCATGATAAAGGCGATCCTAACTTCTCAAAGCTTTCTCGCAAAGTAGTTCTCATGAGTCATGCCGATGATCCGATCAGCCATGACCTGTTGTGTTACAGATTTTACATATGGCTTATAGAATGTTGTGTTACAGATTTTACATATGGCTTATCAGATTTTAATTCTATATAGTTGATTATTCAACACAAAAGAGTGAACATAGAATATAAGGTAATGAATGAAAGAATTAGCATTTTTTCATAATGTTACCTTAACTTCCTTTAGCCACAGACTCTTTAACTCTGGGTCTTCAAGAATGGTTGAGACCAGTTGAGCACCATGTAAAGGTGGGTTGCTGTACATTGGTCTAGCTAGCTGTTGCAATTGACTTTTCACAGCCACGGCTTGCTTTGCATTTTCCTACGACGTTTGTGACAAATTTACCATAACCAAAATTTATTAGAAGTTTGCAATAAATTTCCAATAAATAAAATAATTGTTGCAATTTTATAGAATATCGGTTAGAAATTTTCAACAAAATACGATTATTGGAAGCATTTGTTGGAATATCACATGTTTTCTTGTAGTGGATACCTTGCGAATGCTATACATGAAGTCACCCAAGGTTTGGGTGGAAGTGTCAAAGGTTGGAGATGCAGCTGCGTGGAGACCAAACTCTGAAATTCAAACCATTGCCGATGCAGTAGGTAGTATTGTGGCTTGGCCTAATGATAAAATCATGTACAGTATGTCTAAACATAATCTTGTTATTTATGTGAATTCAGTACTTGCTAAGGCATGATCATGTGACTTGAGTACTTACATTGATATGTTTATCTAATATAAATTTCATTTTGTCTTTTTAAATTTGTTTTATATAATATTAATTTGTAAATAATTTGATCAAAACAGAATTAGAACTGGAAATGGATGGTCACATATTGCACCAAAACAAAATGCCATTAATTGAAACAATTGCAGTTTAGTAACTGCTATTATCATTTTATATGTAGCAAAATAAATATGCTGTCAATAATAGTATTTAATATCGAATATTAAGCGCTATTATATTATTAATTATTGCATAAAGGAAAGCGCTGTAATAACGAACTTTTTGGTAGCATAACAAAAAACCGCTATAATTTGTCTCCGACCTATTATGACGGACGATGATAGAGCGCTTGTTAAAACGCTACAATAGAGTTATATAGCGTTATTCGGGCGCTACAAATGCTTCATTTTCCTGTAGTGTATCTTAATTTTTCATATGTTCTAACTTTGTCTTAATTCTGCCTTCATTTATGTACATATACTTTGCCATCACAAGAATTTGTGTCCTTAGAAAAATAGTTACGTATACACTCACAACCGGATCTGGAGGATCACATAACTATTAGACAAACCAAAAAGAAATTCTAAAATGCAAAAAAGTGAAATATTCAAAGAAATAATTTGGTAATCATGTCCACACCGCCACCGATACTCATGACCTCTGCGATGAGACACGGGCTGCCCGATTGTACCAGGCAGCTTTGTGCTTTCTCATTCCAAAACACTCCCCTCAATTACACCACTTGTAGATGACTTTTAATACACTTTGCATAGATTCATCTAGAAAACTACTATAGTCGAAAAATGTGTTGTTCGTTTGAACCTGTATAGGGTGGCTTCTCTGACCTAACATACGTCTCTTTGAAACAGGGCACTAACACGCTTAAGATGATGATAAAAGTAAAGAATGGCGGATGACTAACGTGCATCAGCTTCAAATTCAAGATTACATTCGGCTCCACGCGCCCACAATCTTTGCTAGTTAATTAAGTTTCTTGGTGATCTCTCTCGTTTACTTTTGTGGTGTCCAAATAAAGATGCTCTGTTACGGCTTCCATTAAACACAGACCAATCTTTCTGACCGGAAGTAACCAAGGTAAACCGGAGAGAAGTTGGTTATCCCATACCGAACCAGCAATTAAAGTTTTAAGTGATTTCAGATTCTAACTTAATTATGTTAACAAAAAGTAAAGAGTCAAAACCCAACACAGAAAGTTTTTACAATTTTCCTAAAGAAAAACCCTACCGAGAGCTCCACCATATAGAGATAGTTTGACCCTTTAGGGTTCTTAGGGTTAAATTGAACCTTAAAGCTTTGATCTCTCTCTCTCTCTCTCTTTTTTCTTTTTTGTTTTCTTTTTCATGTTTCTGGTACCATAATTAAGGGATGGGGTCTGTCACTATGTGTTCAATGAATTGTCTTCCAGATGATCTTCTCGTCCATATCTTGTCGTTCCTTACTACGAAAGAAGCTGCTTCGACCTTTGTTTTGTCCAAGAGATGGAGGACTCTGTTTGCTCTCAGTCATAATCTTGACTTTGACAACATGAACCTTTTGGACACTGAAGATTTGCTTAAACATAGTAGACGCCACATTAAAAAGAGTTTCAATGATTTTGTGGATCATACATTGGCTTTGCATGGCAATAACACTATAAAGAAGTTCTCACTTGAACTTAGTGATACTCATATTGATAATCTACATGACGTTGACCGCTGGATATGTAATGCCCTGGAACGCGGTGTCTCTGACCTTCATTTAGGCATAGAATCTGAATTATTTTTGTGGTCTGGATTCCCATCCAAAGTCTTCACCAGCACAACACTGGTTAAGCTGTCACTGGGAGTGGGAACAAGATTTTACACCGAAAGTGTTCCTTCAGATTTATCTCTTCCAGCACTAAAGGTTCTCTTCCTTGATTCAATTATTTGGTTTAAGGGTGATCTACAATTATTAAATGTGTTTCTCGCTGCTTGCCCTGCACTCGAGGACTTAACCATACATTATATGTGTGGATCTGAAAACCCTCACGTCATATCCAGCAAAACCATTAAGAAACTCTCGTTTACCTATGGTTATATCTATGATTATTATGGTTATTTTTCTAGAATTATTTCATTTGACACACCGAATGTTGTCGACTTCTACTACTCAGATTATTTTGGGAGTGAATCTCCGCAACGTCACTTTGATTCAATTGCCAAAGCTACATTGGACCTTCATTTCTTAAAAGGTGACAAGATTGCGGATGTGACAGATCTCATCAGTGGGATACGCAATGTTAAGACCCTCCACTTGAATTCTTCTACTGTCGAGGTCAATACTTCTGTGTATAGTCTCATCATCTTTTTTGGTTAGAAACAGGAAAACATTCTTTGTTTGTTTCAGGTGATTTCTATATGCTGCGAAGGTGGATTACCGGTGTTCAACAACCTCGTTGATTTAGTGTTTTCCGGTACAAAAAGAGGTTGGAAACTGCTTTTGCCACTTCTTCTAGAGCGTTCTCCGTACTTAAGAAATCTGGTTCTCTCGGTATGAAGCAAACCATGAACAAATCTTACTAAATATATATGACTGTGGCATGACATTAAAGTACTCTCTCTTCTCGATGCTTCAGTGTCTGGATCGTTACACATTTGGTCGAAGACATCGGTTTGTAAGGATTCAAATTCCCTTGAATAACCAAATAAAGATGCTTAGTATCATGCAATATCATGGAAGTGCAACCATGCTGAAACTCATTAGCCATTTCTTACTGAATATGGAGTGTCTTGAAGTTGTGAAAGTCTACGTTGCACGTACAATGGATGACCCCAGAAAGATGCAACTCACAGAGGATATTTTGAAGCTTCCAACAGCTTCATCTAGGGTCAAGATACAAGTTATGTGATCACCATCCATAACTAAGTTATTAAGATAATCATAGCAAAATGACTTCAAAAATATTGAATTTTCTTATATATAAATTAGTTACTCATATTGTCAAAATGTAGTTTAATCTTTAAATTACTTTGTGTTTATTGACTGATTTTTTTTGAAAAACAACAATTTTCTAATTAAATATTCTAATATTTTTTTATATATAATACAGATTTTAGAGTTATCAGACATTACCAAATGATTTATTACTATATAATAAAGAAACCAGAAAATAAAATTTGTTCTGGTCAAATAGTTTATTTTCAAAATATTGTTTAATCCAACCTTCTTGCTGTTTGTGGTTTTTCTTGCTTTGTTCTAAAAAAAAAAAACTAAGAGAATAAACATGTCATGTCATTAACAATTTAACATTATCCTGTGATTGAGTTAGAGTATTACCATTGCCAGTAAGATGCTATCGCTGATGCAGGTACTGAGAAAATCCTTTCATTCACAGAATTGATTCAACCTATGTTGCATGGAAACAGAAACGGAAACGCGGAAGCGAAACGTGTGGAAACGCGGAAACCGATTTTTAAGAAAATTACGAAATGGAAACGTTTTGGAAACGTGTATATATATATATATATATTATTTATATATATATATATATATATTTATTTAATTTATATGAAACACTAAACATCAAAATATATTTTAAATAACATAAAGCAAATGATAGAAATATTAACTAGTCTAACTAAAATAAAGATAATAAGACTCAAAATCAAAAATTAAGACTATATAGGTTAGGCTCTTTGGTGATCAAAGATAAAAATGTGTGTTTCATATTCTTTATACTAATTAGGTTTTTAAAGATAAAATATAAAATATATTCTTATATTTCTAAAATTATTAATTTTTATGTGTCAAAAGAAAAATTAAGTTTCCGATGAGTTTCCAAAGTGGAAACGTACCTTTCCATCGTGTTTCAAAATTGACTTTTTAGGAAATGCGTTTTCATGACGTTTCCCCGCGTTTCCAAGAGTTCCCGATTCTGAAATATTTCCGAAACAGAAACGCACCTCGAACGGAGTTTCCATGCAACATAGGATTCAACAATGATTCAACAACAATTGATGCAGGTACTTAAGATGATGATGATAAACGAGAAGAAATGATTCAACAATGTAGTCTAAGTTAAAAAAAGTTGGTAATTTAAAAATCTCCGAGGCCACAAGAAAGTTCGAAAATTTGGATGTATGTGAATGTAATTTGCTTGTGTTGATTTCAGTGGAGAAAGTCGCAGTGGTATGGACCGTTAACTATTTGATTAAAAACACTTCCCAAATAAGATTTTTTTCAGCAATTAAATTTATATAATTAGACATTTATGACATATAGTCAAAAGTGACTAGAGATTAGATTAGCCTTAAATTTAAAAATCAGCCTTAATAAAATAGAGATTAGATAGACTCCGAAATTGTGGTTGGTTTTCTTAAGGCAGGTCTAAGGGACTCACACCCGTTGTTGTTCCTGATACGTCTGTGCCATGGCTTTATTTCAAAAGATTGGATAGTCCGTATCTCGCATGTGTATAGGAAAGCTAACTGTCTTGCCGACGGACTAGCAAACTATGCGTTTTTATTACCGTTGGGTTTTCATGGCTTTGAGTCTGTTCCTAACTCTGTTCGTTTTATTTTGTTAGAGGACGCTGGTGGGACTGTGTTCCCACGACAGATCCGGTTGTAATTTTTTTCTTCTTCTTGAATAAATTGTGGGAGACACTGTCTCCCTCACCCGACCAAAAAAAATAGAGATTAGCCTTAAATTTAGAGTAAAACAAACTTATAATAATAAAATGATTAGCCTTACATTTATCTTAATGGACATGTGGTTAAAACTTAAAAGTAAATTAGAAAAGAAAGAAAATAAAATAAAAAGTAAAAAAAAAAAACTAATAGTTACATGAACCCCTAGCGATAGCTACATTAATCCGCTACCATATAAAAGACCTAAAAGCCTACCGAACAGCAAATCATCAACAACAACTACTCAAAATCAAAGCTTCTTGATATGGAGAAGAAGTTGCTAAACAGTTGAATCAGTCTTCAATGGATTGTCTATCAGATGAGCTTCTTGTCCAAATCGTGCCTTCCTTCCCATGAAACAAGCTGTTTCAACCTCTCTTCTCTCCAAGATGTGGAGGACACTGTTTGCTTTCATTCATAATCTTGACTTTGACGAACCCATATTCTCGGACTATGAATGTGATGTATGGAAAAGGCGTTATATTCAAAAGATATTTCGGGATTTCATGTATAGAGCATTGGTTTTGCAAGGTGGTTGCCAAATATAAAGAAGTTGTCACTAAAACTTAAACACATTTAGTGCTAGTGGCGTGATTATTCACTTATTATTGTCAACCTTTGGATATGTTTAGCCTTGAAACACGGTGTGTCTGAGCTTCATCTATGCATAGACACAAACACACATTTCCTAGCAAGAGTCTTTATCATCACCACACTGGATAGGTTGTCACTGGGAGCCAGATTTTACATTAATAGTGTTCCTTCGGCTACATCTCTCTCAGCACTAAAGGTTCTCCTCCTTGATTCAATCTCCTTTTGGGGTAATCAATTATCTGATGTGTTTATCGCTGCTTGCCCTTCACTTGAGGACTTTACCATACATCTTATCCAAGAGAGCGAGACATAATATCCAACAAAACCATTAAGCGACTCTCAGTTACCATTAAAAGTTATTATAATGTTCATTCTTGTAGCCTTATTTCAGTACTTGACACACCGAGTGTTGTCGAACTCTACTACTCTGGTTATGCTGTCATTGGGAACAGGACTAGACTGCCCAAGAATTCCTCTGGATACATGTCTCCCAGCACTAAAGGTCCTACTCCTTGATTTAATCTAGTTTGTGGGTAATCAATTATCACATTTGTTTCTCGCTGCTTGCCCTGCACTTGAGGATACATTACGAGTATTATCCAGGGCATTCACACGTCATATCTAGCAAAACCATGAAGTTATTAAAGTATTCTCTCCTCTTGATGCTTCGAGATTTACATCATTACACATTTGGACGAAGACATCGGTTTGTGGGGATTCAAATTCCCCAAAAAAACCAAATAAAGATGCTGAATATCGAGGAAGTGAAAACGAGCTGAAACACATTAGCCATTTTTTACTGAAAATGATACGAAGACTTCCTAATTTATGATTTAGGAAATAGTTTAGGATTTCCAATTTCTTATTTACTTTTCCTAGAGTCTTTTACTTTACATTTTATTATAAATAAGGGTTAGGTTTTGTTTGTGAAACCTATCTAAACAATTGAGAGCTTTGGAGGATTCTATCGGGTAAGGCCGAGGGAAGAGAACGTAGTTCTCTTTGGGGAGTTTATACTCTTGTTACTTTATTGTTCTATCTTTCTATTATCATAATAAATGTTTTGGTTTGAATTGGATTCTATCTCTAACAATTGGTCCGACCTAACGACGAACGCCTAAAGAATGACAAAGACAAGAAGAACGCTTGGAAGAGTTAGAGAAGAATCAACTCACAGATGATCTTGTGAAGCTTCCCGCAGCTTCATCTAAGCTCAAGATACAAGTCATGTGATCATCATCGTCCATAAGTTATTATTATATGTCTTCAAACTAAGGTTCTTTGTTTTAGTGATTTATGATTTATTATCATATATATGAAATCATAAAAACTAGAAGAAACAAAACAACTTGGTATGGGTATAAAGGAAGCTAAGGAATTCGCGGAAAAGAGTCCTTGATCTTGAAAGCAGGAGTATTAAAAGAAGGAGAGACTATCGTAGAAAAGTTTAATGCATTTGGTTCAAAACCTTAGGTCTATGTTACTTGGACTGATGAAGACTTAGGTCTTAGGTATAATAATAATTGAGGACTTAGATCTAAGATCTTCAAAGCACGTTGTTATGATTTCCTTCCATGTAATTTGCATATATGAAGGTTTCAAAAGAAAGTAATAAAGGAGAATGAAAATTCTGCAAAACAAGAGTTGATGTTCTTCAAAGCACTTTTCCACTTTCTGTTTTGTAGGGAATTATGTTTCGTAGACAAGTTGAGGGTTGAGACTGAATATCACTCAAACTATAGTTTGTGGAATCTTTGTCTATGTAAAAATCTTAAACTGAAAATCACATAGCTACGGACAAACCAAAAAGAAAACCAACACTTTGCACACAATCATAAACGAAAGTTAAAAGACCAAGAAGTGAAATATTCTCACCCGGATATCTCAATAATTACATCTCTGACCGCCTAGGATGATCGCATGTTCGTATGTTTTAACTTTAAAGACAGACCAATGTTTCTGTTGCACCCAACAAAATCATTAACAAGAGACTCAAAACCCCAACATATTAGTAAAAGAAAAAATAGAGATTTAAAATAAAATAATTACCCTTAAATATATAAGGAAAATAATTATCCTTAAATTATAAAGGAAAATATTTAGCCTTAAATCTATCAACATGTGGTTAAAAGTAAATAGAAAAAGGAAAAGTAAAACCTAAAAAAAAAAAAAGCTTACCGGGAGCTTCATATAAACCATCTAAAGTCTACCGAGCAGCAAATCAATAACAAAGAGTCAAAGATTTGAATTCGGCTTCAATGGATTGTCTTCCAGATGATCTTCTTGTCCAAATCTTATCCTTCCTTCCCACCAAACAAGCTGTTTCAACCTCTCTTCTCTCAAAGAGGTGGAGGACTCTGTTTTCTCTCGTGCATAATCTTGACTTTGACGAACCCATCTCCGGGCGCCCCGAAGATATCCGAAAGAGTTTTAATGATTTTGTGGACAGTTCATTGGCTTACCTAGGTGTTAACCATATAAAGAAGTTCTCACTTAAACACACTGAAAAATATTTAGTAGGACCTGACATTGAACGCTGGATATGTAATGCCCTGGAACACGGTGTCTCTGAGCTTCATCTACACATAAAATCTGCATTGTGGTATCGTTTCCAGTCCCAAGTCTTAACCAGCACAACACTGGTCATTGGGAACAGAACAATACATCGATAGGTTTTCTCCGGATACATCTCTCCCAGCACTAAAGGTTCTCCTCCTTGATTCAATCTGGTATTGGAATGATCAACAATTAAATGTGTTACTCGCAGCTTGCCCTGCACTTGAGGACTTAACCATACGTTACAAACATATTAAAGGACGTTCATACCTCATATCCAGCAAAAGCATGAAGAAACTCTCAGTTACCATTAAAAGTAGTTACTGTAAAGATCTTTCTAGCATTATTACACTTGACACACCGAGTGTTGTCGACCTCTACTACTCTGGTTTTCCTCATCGTAAAGTTCCACATTGTAATTTAGCTTCACTGGCCAAAGCTACATTGCACCTTCATTTCTTAGAAAATGAAAATCTCATCAGTGAAAAATCTCATGACGCGGATGTAGAAAACCTCATCAGTGAGATACGCAATGTCAAGACCCTTCACTTAACTTCTTCTGCTGTTGAGGTCAGTTTTAATGTATGGTCTCTCATCATTTTTTGGTTAAGAAGAGGACAACATTCATTGTGTGTGTTTCAGGTTATTTCGGTATGCTGCAAAGGTGGACTACCCGTGTTCAACAACCTTGTTGAATTAATGTTTTCGAGTAAAAAACAAGGTTGGAAAGTGCTTCCACTTCTACTAGAGCGTTCTCCAAACCTAAAAACTCTGGTTCTCTCGGTATGAAGCAAATCATGCACAAATCTTACTTTATATATATGACTGTGACATGACATTAAAGTACTCTCTCTTCTCAATGCTTCAGGGTATGGATCGGTTTACTCGAATTCCTCCGAATAACCAAATAAAGATGTTGAGTATCAAGCAGTATCAAGGAAGTGCAACCGAGCTGAAACAAATAAGCCATTTATTACTGAATATGGAGTGTCTTGAATTGGTAAAAGTTTACGTTGCAGCTGAAATGGATGACCTCAAGAAGATGGAACTCACAGAGGATGTGTTGAAGCTTCCTGCAGCTTCATCTAAGCTCAAGATACAAGTCATGTGATCTTAAGTCACTATATGTCTAAAATAATTAGTAAGTTTTTTTTTGTTTAGTGATTTATTATTTACTATGATTAGGGGTTTCTGATCTAAATTGCAATAGAAGCTATGACTTATTGAACATTATGAGAAATCAAATAGATTCTTTACACAATATGTTACAAAAGAAACAAACAACACTCCACTTTGGAAATCACAAACAGGGAGTGGACCAAATCAACATATGAGATGAAATAAAACACCAAATGCACCTGCACAAGAATCTCATCATGACGAAACTGAAAACTGAAAACTGATTAACACAATCACTCAAGGCTCCACCAGGTTAGGATCTAGCCATGTTTGCTTTCAGTCATAATCTTGACTTTGACAACTCCATTTATATCTATGTTTTTTTATCATCACTTTCATCAATGTTTGTTTTAGTGCCAAACCACATTTTATCAGCAAATAAATGAGTACGTGTTTACCACGTTTTAGTAAGAAACGCTCAAGATGATGCATAAACGATAATTGTGGTTAGAAGCTAATCATTCACCAGAAAATGCTTAAATCTGGTAGAATAACAGATATTTTGACATAGAAAAGACATGATAAATAAAACCTCTCGATGGAATGGTTAAATGTTATGTCCCTCTTCTTGGGTGAATGGAGTCTCGCTAAGTGGAGGTGCTTGGATTCTCAGAGATCATCTTGGTCAGGATCTCTTCCATAGTAGAGACGTGTCCACTGCATCTGATGTCGCTTAGTTGCTGAATTACGATGCATTCTTTGGTCTATTAATGGTATTAAAGATACTCACGTCACGCACACAGAGCTAGTCTCTGATTGCAAAGGTGCTATTGATGCGGTGAACAATCTTAAAGATTGGCCAAGATACCGTAACCTCTTGGAGCAAATTCTCAATGTTGCAGGTTCCTTCCGTGAATATGTGTTTCATGTGGTGGCTCAGCAAATATAATTGCTTCTTCGATTGCTAAAAGCAGTGGCGTAGCCAGGGGTAAAAAAAAAGACATATTAAAAAAAGTAGTTTACAAATAACTACAATTTTATTTTATGTTTACTTCATAACTTGAAACATTTCTTTTTTTTTAATACTCTTTCATTTGTTAGATTGTCAAATAACTCCTTTTCAATAAAACAAACTAGACATTCACTTAAAAACTAATCATTTGTTTAAGAATTTTTTTAATAGAATTGAAAACCCTAAACCTAATTTTTTTCTATGTCTTACTGTTATTATATATGTATAGATTTTGTTTTATTATAAGATAAACTGATAAAGGATAGAATTTTTTTTGTTTTTTCTGTAAAAAAGAAAAAGGAATAAACTCTTAACTTACTCTCTTGGTCTTAAAAGAAAAAAAAGTCTCACTCTCTCGATCTAGATTGTTCTTCCCCTTTCTCTCTTCTTATTCACCCTTCGTGAGGCCCGGTCCTTTAATATTCGTGGCCCAATACGAAATAAAAAAATCTGAGGTCTCTATATATAAAATAGTACCACAAATAATGTCAAAAATAGAAGTTTTCTGAAAATTGGGGTTTTTTTTTAGAAATCGGAACCTCTAATAGGCGTGCATCTAACTAATTATTTGTTGTTCTTATAAAATAATTTTTTTTAAAAAAATGGGCCTCTTTTTTTGTGTGGCGCCATACACATGTATCATAAAAAATGGGTGCAAGGCCGCCAGGCCTGTCCTTCCTCTCTTCTCTCATCATAATCTCACACTCTTGATAGTTTAGAGCAGTTCCATTGTAGGTCTCTTAATATGGTTCTTAGGGGAATTATGATTAAAATTTAATGTTTAATTGGGTTATATGCTAAGAACCAGCTCTAATATAAAAGCCAAAGAACCAGTTTCTAGCATTAATTATTAGCATTTTTCTATCTTCTTCTTTTTGAAAATGTCTCTGGAATCCATGATAACCCGACAAATTTGATCCAAACCCGAACCCAAAAATTTAGATTTATTCTATTGGGTCCTAATTCCTAAACTCATAAAACCGAACCCGAACCCGAACCCGAAAATATCCGAATGTTTTATTCGAACAAGCGGAATCAGCCGGAAGTTCATAAGTGGATTTCACCTATTCTACGGATATGCCTTCAAATCTTGTAAATATGATTGCCACTAAAACTCGACTTCGTGATCGAGTTATGCATCAACAATTGAAAGTGGATTTGGTTGAGCATATATGGACAAAATTTGGCGAAAATCAAGTTTAAAACTATCAAGTTTTATCTTATGTATAATATTAATTGTATGTCATGTATGTTTCAAATTTTTTCATTTGCAATAATCATTAAGTTTTCTAAAATTATAACTGTTTATTTTTATTTTTTAAACTAATATTTTTTTTTCTAAGAACCACTAATTAAGAACCTACCAATGGAGACAACTAAAATTTAAAACCAATTAACAACCTCTTAAGTCAAAAAAATTCAAAATTAATATTAAAAGTATTCCTAAGAGTTATACTTAATAGACTATGAATGAGGGTGCTTTTATTGATGGTCTTTTAGCACAACTCTTAAGTTAAGAGATATGTCTTATAACTAACAAAAGCCTCTTAACTAAGAGACTTTAGAGCATCTTTATAGGTAAGCTCTTAGCAAATTCTTAGGTAGATCTTAGGCATTAATTGATTTAATTTAATTCAAAAATCAAACTTATAGTTAAGAGACGTCTCTTAGCTAAGAGACAAAACTGAAGCTAAGAGACGGCCACATGTCCGGGTATGAGTGGTTGATGAGTTAAATTAGGCATGGATAAATAAACCGAACCGAAATCGGTACCGAACCGATATATTTCGAATAACCGAAAATACCCGAAATACATTTCAAAATAATTAGTTATTTATAGACTAAATAATCAAAACTACTTGAAAATATATAAAAATAGTAAAAATACTCGAACATAACCGAAAAATATCCAAAAATACTTAAAAATAACCGAAATATCTGAAAATATCCTTAGCAAACTAGCCGTATGAAGAATGCATCAACAATTGAAGAATGATTTGGTCGAGTATATATGGACAAAATATTCCAGAAATTAAGTTTAAAACATATGTGCTTTATGTTATTTATGTTATAAATTGTATCTCATGTATGTTTTAATTTTTTTAATTTGCAATAATTATTAAATTTTCAATAATTATAAATTTTATTTTTATATTAATATTTTTTCTTCTAAGAACCACATGTTAAGAGCCTACCATTAATCACACAAAAATCTTAACTCAAAAATACTATCTCTTAACAATAACTATTACAAATAAATTACTTAAATATTGCTAAGAAGTATTTCTAAGAGACTACCTATAATCATGCTCTTAAGAGACTTTTTTTAGTTATAAGACATATCTCTTAACTTAAGAGTTGTCGTAAGAGACCATTGATAATGTTGCTCTAAGGTTTAAGTTGTTTTTCGTGCAGGGCCGGCACAAAACTTTTTTGGACCTTGTGCCCATTTAAAAATATTATAAAAATTTAGGATTTTATTTAGAAAATTTCTAAAATTTAAGGTCTTTAAAACATTATAAAAAAAAAAAAAAGCTTGTGGGACCCAGTGCTTGAGCACTCGTAGCCCTACCCATAAGCCTAGCCTGCTTGAGTGATTTAATCCCAATAAAAAGTAACCCTAATTCAGTTTGTAAATGAAAAATCAGAGAGGTCCTTGATTAGGGTGGAGGGATGAAGGGAGAGAAAAGAAGACGTGGAAACATTCCACAAGAGATTGTAGACGAAATTTTGACGAAGCTTCCGGTGAAATCGCTGGTGAGATTCAAAGCTGTATCGAGAGAATGGAGAGGAACGATAGAGTCAAAGTTTTTCATAGAGAAACACAATCAGTATCAGAAATCTCTACAATTAAGGCAAGTGAGAATAATCTTATTATCAGAAGAAAAAAGATACAATGGTCTTGCTCTAGAAAATATGTTGATTTCTTCCAGTGGGATCGTACCTGTTTCTCCATATCTACCTATTAGGGCATTTAACCGGTTTGATGGTTACAAAATCTCTAAGCCTTGCGATGGTTTGATTTGTCTATACACACATACTCGTATATTTAACCTTGTGAATCCTGCCACCACTAGCCGCCGCAGACTCCCTAAACCCACCTCTATTGTCTGTGACGGTACGTACTGATGACTAATTATGTTTTACTTATAATTTTAAGCTTTTGTTTATAAACTAGCATTGGTTTGTTTATTGTTACAGGTGGGCATAGGGTATTTACTTTGCTAGGGATCGGAAGAGAGAATAGTGTGAGTCCAAGGTATAAGCTATTGTGGTTTTTCGAGTTTGATAACAGACGTATGAATAAATCTACTAGGTGCATGGTTTTTGCTCTTGACACCAACACTTGGAGGAACGTAGATCCGCCTAAATGTCGAGTTCACTATGACCATCCTCAAATACACTTGGATGGAGTAATGTATTGTTTCACCCACAACATGGAACAGCAAAGTTACTTTGAAAAGGATCTCAAGTTATTAGCTTTTGATCTTCACACAGAGACATTTGAAAGCATTTCAATTACTCCGGATATCGGGTGTAGATTCTGCCGTGAATTAAGCATGTGTGTTCTTGACAATCGTATATGCATCTTTAAGAGACTTGTTGATGATAACGATCGTTTTTTCAAGATCTGGGGTCTAGACGTACGCAAGAGAACATGGGAGATGATGTATTCCATAGATTTGTCTTGTTTTCCTCCAGAATTCAAAGAGTGGAGAATCATCCCAATGGCAACGATCAACAATTATGTCATCCTTTCAAATTTTAAACGTACCATCTGGGTCCTCTACGGTTCCAAAAACTGTATTTTATATCGCACATCTTTTTCTTTTCAATTCTTAATGTCTTATTTTGAGACTCTAGTCTCTCCTTATCAATAACAATTTTGTAACTTTTACTTATTGATTAACTACAGACATTCGAAATTTGAGAATGCATGGGAAGGTTGATTAACAAACAAACAAACAAATGGTTTCTAAAGTATTAGTACTTTGGTATGTTAAAGTATTAGTGCTTCTTCGCTGAATAAATCAGATGCTACCCCTGAGTTGGATGGAGATGAACCAACGAATCTTGATGAAGAATATATAGATGATAGGGGCGGATTAAGAATATAAAGAGGTGACAAATGTGATCCAAATGACTCGTGATATCCAGAGGAACTTTACATTTGATGAAAGAAAAGGAGAGAACACCGCGCTTTTGGTTCTATGTCTAACAATGATGAAATATTAATCGCCTGAGAGTATTTTCCTTCCTTCTAATTAGGACCATTTTCTCTAAAGGAAATTTTGTGAACCTGGATAACCGGAATGATGATTCGAAATCCATCTTCGATAGAGATATCATTTGAATGTAATGGTTTGTGGAAAAGAGATCTTAATGACGAAGATGATATGTTTCTTCAGTTGGCAGCGGGAAGACCAGTGACAATCAAATGAATGAGCCGTTAATGGTTCCCGAGAGAGAGTCTTCTTTATACAAGAAGTGTAACAAGGCCCCTGTATAAGGTGAAACATTGCCAGGGATAAAATACCGACAAAAATAATCAGACGAGAAAATTATTTAGAGAAGCTACAAACTCGAAATTTGTACCTTGAAGACCTTAGGTTCCAAATAGCTGATCATTGTTGTTTGCTTCTGGCATATTGTAAAACTTTGATCTGAAAAACAAAGATCGTGCAGCCAAAACCAATTAATGAGCTTGAAACTTCTCACCAGCAATGTCAAATTTGACATCCGAGCCTTCCAAAGTATCCAATGTCTCAGACAAGGAGCGTCCGAAGAAATGCTTGTATCCCCTATTCAAAATCCAAAGAAAAGAAACAAGAATTAGAGGGCTCTGAGGTAGCAGCAAAAAAGGAAATTTCCAATTAAGCACCTTAACAACACCAAGACAGTTCAGACAGCTTATACACACCTTAGAAATGTAAATATTTAAGATTTCAAGTAGGAAATGTTGAATGGATCATGATTAAGGATGGAGAGAAAAGATAGAAATGTATTGATTAAAGATGTGTATTACACAATGAGGAGGCACACACGTTTATATAGAGAACATAATCTAGGTCTGAGATGGGTTGTGCACAAAGACCAACAGCACCCTCATTCAGCCTTGTAACCCGAGTAACCCAAGTAACCTGTAACCCGAGTAACCCAAGTAACCTACATTTAACCCTGTAACCTGTAACCCGAGTAACCCGAGTAACCCAAGTGTTAAATGTCTTCTTGATTAACAAGAAATTGTAGATTAAAATAGTATCGTACACAGCTGAAATGACAGAGTACAGCAAAAATGGAAAAACAGCTATCAAACAATCCATGCTTAAAACACAGGGAAAATTAAATGAAGACAAGTCATCGAACAAGCACAACATAACGAAATGAGACTAAGTTTAAGTTTCTACTGAAAATTTATGGATAACCCATCAACATAAACCAATTTCCATGGTGATTTACATACGATTAACGAGAATTAAGAGCAGAAAATCAACCCATACCACATACTTTCTCTATATTTAAGCGTGTAAAGACCACCATCAAGTGTACCACTTTGATCAACAAGAGCAAGCTCAAAAAGCGCTCTAACTTCAGTACCTTCACTAGCCAAAACGATGAACACAGAGACGTAAGAAGAGTTATCTTCTGGATTTTTACCATCTGGGTAGACGAAGATAGTCCATTGATCACTTGCTATGTGTTTCCCTACTCCGATTCCTTTAGCTAAACTGTATCCTTGGATCACGAATTGGTGCGATCCGTTTGTCGTCTGCGTCACTGATCTCGAGCTTGTTGGTGATTCGATTCGGTCTGGATTCGTGTTGGGGCTTGATGATCAGCTGGTTCTGGTCATTGGCCTTGAAATTCGCCGCGATTTCTAGGGTTTTTGATTTTCCCAATTTGGGGAGATTTGTGAATTTCAGAAATTCAAACCCGTCGGATAAAACGGGAAGAGGAAGATGGATGAATTGGTCCGTTGTGGGGTATAATGGTCATTGTACTAAAAGAAAGATCCAATAAGAAAACGGTTTTTTTTGGTTTGCGAGTCGGAACTAACATAAACCCGGTTAAGGTTTATATATCTAATCCGATTTCCGAGCAACTAATATTTGATTAAATGCTCTTCTCTCATCTTTATCAAAATTGTAGATGAGGTATTAGTGTTGCAAAGCGTTTTTGCTATGTTTGCTTTTAGCATTGTGCACTAGAGGAGTTAGTAAGAGTGAGACTAATGGTGTTTGGTTTAGTTTTTGAGTAGTTTGGTAGAGTGAACTAGTACTGTTTGCATAATTGGTTTGCTAGATTTATATATAGTTCGTCTCTTTTTTTTTTGTGATAACTAATGGAATCGTTCAACGAGTTGCTTTTATATGACTAGAGAGAAGTATATATTTGATCGAGGACTTTGACTTTGCTGTTGACGGCTCAGTCTCGGGCTCGAGTGAAATGTTTCTAGTGCTAGGAGTTTTGGCAATTTCGGCTTATGCGTCTTGCTTTCGCACGTTCACCTATTGTTATAAGGCAAAGTGCATTTTTTTATATCTTTTGCTTACCACTCGTAAAAAGGTTAACCGGTGTATCTTTTCCTGCCCATTTATGTTACTCAATGAAAGGGAAGTGGAATTGAACTCCTACACAGCAAGAGAAGAGCTATGCGGCTGTGCACTAGTCTTTAGTCGCTCCTCGGTGATGAACCAGTTTTCAACCTTTCATTTCATCTACATTTCTTGCGGATTTTTGTTTCTATTTGCTTTCAAGTTTCTAAATAGGAGCCAAAAAATAAATTAACCAATTATCAAACTAAATTCATGTTTATTACTGGTATATATATATCAATAACGAACTGGATTGTAAGATTGAAACACAAGGATCAATTTTGTTGAATAAAATCCTCGATTTTCCATCATTCTTATTGGTCCAATGTTTTTGGTTAGTGTATCTAATAAAAAGAAGAGAGGAAGTGAGAGGGAGAGTGAATTATTATTTTTTTACTAAAAAATGCGAATATCATTTCAAAAAAGATGCGGGAAAATGGTAGTGGCAAAGCTGTAATATTTGGAGAGTTACGGGGGTTTTTTCGGTATTGGGCAAAACTGAACGCAGAGATACTCTTCCCGCCCACTATAAGATCTCCTTCTTCCTTCTTCCTTGTTCCTTGTTCCGATCATTCTCACTTCATCTGCCATTTTTATTCACTCTCTCTCTCTCTGAATTTCTGAGAAAAATGTGTTCGCCGGCAAGAAAAAAGCAGAGTACCATGAGTTCATCATCGGAGGTTAGTTTGTGATTAATTTCGCTCCGATTGATTAGCCGTGTAATCTCTGTTCGTGATCAACTCGGATGAGATTAGGGATTTAGGTTTTGAAGAATTTTTCGGAATCACTAATGGAGCTGATACACATTCTTCGGTCGCGATTTGCTATATACATTTCCCGAGATCTCCGTTAATTTGATGTTTTGATGATCTAGTTGCTTAGATTTCTAAATATTACTTAGATTTTCCGAGATCTCCGTTAATTTCATGCGTAATTACATATATATCTGGTAATTTGTGATGAGGTTTCGTGGAAATGATTCGCTTATCTTGCTCCGATGGTAACGTAGACTTGGATTCTCCGATGGTATTTTGCATCAGGTCACTGAGACTCCGGAGGAACAAGTCCCCGAGCAGCCACTGGAACAGATTCTACAAGAGGAACAAGTCCCCGATCAGCAACTGGAACTGATTCCACAGGAGGAGGCAAGTACACGTTAATGCCTTCAATGCTAATGTTCTGTATCCACTTTCTCACGCCATTTACATTTCCACTTCAGGAGGACCATGTCTTTCAGGAGGAACAAGTCCCCGAGCAGCAACTGGAACAGATTCCACAAGAGGAGGCAAGTACACGTTAATGCTTTCAATGCTAATATTCTGTATCCAGGACCATGTCTATCAGGAGGAACAAGCCCTTGGTGTTGCTAAGATGGATTTTGGCCATGTCTTTCAGGAGGAACAAGCCCTTGGTGTTGATAATATGGACTTTGCCTGCTACGAGGAGGCAAGTCTCTGCGGTTTCAAGCATTAGTTTACATATATATATATCTGGAGTGTTTGATGAGTTAATTTTCATGGAATTGATTCGCTTATATTTCACTGATGATAATGGATTCTTTGTATCTTATTCAAGATTGTTGCTAGATCTCCTTTTAAAGCCTCACCTGAATTTTGTGAGCAGCTTTCTCCGGATGAACAAGTCCCGGAGCAGCAACTGCAACAGATTCCAATAGAGGAACAAGCCCTTGGTGTTGCTGATATGGTTTTTGGCTGCTACGAGGTTAGTGTCTTGTATGGTTTCAGAATATTCATCTTTTGATATTTTTCACATTTCGGGCAATGAAACTAACGATTTATGTACCATTACTTTTATAGCCCGGGGACTACACTGCCATGCTTCTTACTAAGCAACTTACCACTAATCCTATCATGGCCGTCGATGAAAACACGAGAGCCATCACAGTAGACACCATGTTAGCTTCCGAAAAGGCTAGCATGTATCCTAATGCGATCCATTTGGCGGTTCTAGTTTTTGACCAATATTTCGCAACACTTCCACTGGACCAAGGACAGGCTGCTGTAGATCCTCAAACCGCCATTACTATGGCACTTTTCATAGCAGTGTTAGTGTGTTGATTTGAGACTATTTGATGATTTCTTATAACTTTTCTAACGTTCTAAACTTTTTTCTCTTCTCTGTTTTTTTTTCTTTCTTTATTTTGCATTTTAAAGGAAGTACGAGTACGGTATTGACAAATCAACGAGGATGACATTTCCTATTCGGGATCTAGACATGGAGATGCAAATTCTTAGCAGTTTTAACTACAGGCTAACTGCTCCGACAACGAAAACATTTGTAGATCTTTATCTGAGCTTGACCGAACCGCATGATGCTA